GATCCAAGAAGAGTTGCAGTCCTAAGTGGTTCCTAGAAATGAGATTTTGGTCCATATGTGTGACTTCGTATAGATTTCGGCCTTGGCTTTTATGAAGAAAGGATTTCGGTTTTGGTTTGGGATTTGATTCGCAAAACCAAAAACCAATAATATAATAAGTAATATTATGATTTCATTTAAGTTTTAAAGTTATAATAGCCTACTTCAACATGGTTTTCCATATATACTTATATATAAGTTAAACAAACATGCACTCTAGGCTTTCACAGTATAATTGTATATATATTAACATATATAAACATGCCCTCATGGCTAATTGTGATTTAATGTAACAGGGATACAATATTATATTTTACTTGTGAATGATTAAAAGTTACACTTTTATTGGCTTATATTTACCCGAAATAACCAGTTGTTACACACCTGACACTAGGTTGATCCTGAACTCAACCTGCCTCTCCAAAGACACTTTGAATACCTCCTCCAGAAACAGATCAGCAAAATCTCTAACCACTGGAACCTCGGAAACCGATACATGGTCCCTGACCCGCGTATCCATCACATACACCAAATAACCCGCACACCCGTGCTGAAAATACTGTCGAGCCCTGGCTGCTGAACAAAACCCTAAACCCAATCTGGTGCCCTCACGTAGATAACAGTTCTCCCCACTTGAGGTTCGAACTACCACCGGTTGACCCTCATAGTCGATCATGGCATTGAAGTAACTTAGCTAATCCATACCCACAATCACACATACATCCCCCATGGGGATCAGAATCAAGTCTATCGGGAAAGATACCCCGAAGATCTCCTGAACGCAGCGTCGATAGAATGGATAAGAAGAAATATCGTGTTCGTTGGCGATAGAGACTCACAACGAACACTTAAGATCTCATATAGGCAAACCAAACTCCCTACTGTGCAATCGAGAAACAAATGACCGCCCGTCTAATACCAATGCAGGTAAGGAGTTCCCTAAAAATGTACCTAACATAGGTACAAACACATAAGCATAAAACATATATAATGAATAAAATATAGGATAGAAACATACCATCCACCAAATCATGTGTTGTCCTGGCCTCCTTGGCAGTAAGCTGAAAGGCATGTCCCTGAGCCCTCGAGGGGTCTGCTCTACCCCGACTCCCATCATTAATCCTCAGTGTAGCTGGCGTGGGAGTTTGCACCGGCTTGGCAGCGAGCAATGGACAATTGGCCTTCATGTGGCCAATATGATCACAGCTGTAACATATTCTTACACTCAGAATCGGGGTGGGCTGGCGACAATCCCTCTCATAGTGCCCCTCATTGTCATATTTGTGGCACCCGCTAACAGATCGACAAACCCACGAATGAGCCTTCTCCCACTTTCCACAAGTGCGGTCGCGCTGACCTCCAAACCTAGAAATAGCAGTCTTGGATTGCTTCGACACTAGTTGTAACTGCGCAGAGGCCTGCCTCTGCTCTCTCAGCTGTAACTCAATCTCAAGCTCATGCCGCCTAGCGGCCTCCTGTAACTCCAGTAATATATCACATCGATGGGTAGCAACAAACTATCTTATGTCAATCTTGAGCATGCTCAGATAACGGGTCATCTTAGCCTTCTCGGAAGCAAACTCCGGGCAAAACATCACCCTCTCAGTGAACATATGGGTGATCTCCATCACTGACTCCATACCCTATCTTAGACCCAAACACTCTTGTGACAGCTGCTCTCGCTCCACCGTAGAATGTAGAGAGTGTGAAACATCTCCCTGAACTAATCCCATGTAACCGTAACTCTCTGATCATCAGTACACGAACCTGTCATCAATCTCCACCAGTCCTTTGCCTCGGACCTCAAGAGGTTTAAGGTACACATGACCTTCTAGTCAGTAGGGCATGAGCATGTGAAAAATCATCCCTCAACATCATGGCTATGATCGGGTCCTAAATCCCATCAAAAGTCGGGGCTTCATGTTGTCGAAGTCCCAACACTGAAAATCCCGACATGTCCCCGTACCTACAGCTGCTACACATGCAGAGGATAAAGTGGCATCCATCTCAGCAATGGTTGCATAACTCTCATCAAAGTACTCAAACGGTCTTAATAGACCCAAACATCTCTGGAAACTCAGCCGGGAAAAGTGCATCAACCTCATCATGAAGGATCATATGAATCCTGGAATCTAACTCATCTGGCTAATGGTCTCGGGCACTTCTAGACCACCCTGACTGCCCGTTCCTGATCGTGACCCAGATCCGGTCACGAATCACCTTGTAGTCACCATATTGAAAATATAACAAGAAGACTTCCTTGCTACGCATATGGGTCCAATGCTTTCAGTAGTACGGGCCCATATTACCTTCCAAACCTACCCATATTTGCATCTAGTATCATCAAAACGCCCTAACAATATACATAAGCATAGGCGAGCGCTTAATCCTCACTCCTAGAGGAAGGCTAAATATCTCATAATTGGTTGACTGACCCCACACAACTCATCCATGAAACTTTTATCAACCCTGCAGTACTTGTGTATGCTAATCATACCTAACGTTTGACCCCATAGACTTTCGAATATCTGATCCTACCCTAAGCCCTTCATCAAACATGAGCAAGAAATAAGGCTAAACCAAACATTCTCAGGATATAAGGTCTTAAATATGTAAAACTATGTTTCATACACTAAGAAACTGTAGTGATGATGTCAATTTCATATAAGGAAAACCCTAGGCTATCAGGCATCATATAATTAGGCAATTCTATCAGGCAATTCCTGAAGATCACTAGCCTATCACTAGCATTATGTTCTAACATATCACAATATCAAATATCCGTATGGTATTTTGGGGTCTACTTATTGGCTCCGGCTGATCATACACTTTGCATCCTCCTTTAGTATTTTGAAAACCATTTAAAAATCATTTTGAAAATCTTTTCCTTAGTTAGAGACTAGATTCACACGAGTGTTTCTCCAATTCACTCAGACCAAGGCTCTGATACCAACTTGTAACATCCATAAAATTCATGAAAAGTTAAAGCTTTTTCAATCATTCAAAAACACCATTTAATTACAAAATGTTTTCAATATAGTTTCATATCAGAGTATTCCAGAATTAAAATCATAAAATGCGAGGAGGTGCACAATCAAGCCTTGGCCTTCCTGTGATCATCCGAAGTACCTGAAATAAATTCCAAAACTGTCAGCCCAAATCTTAGTGAGTTCCCCCAAAATATCGATACATAACAAGTAGCACACATAATAACAGCAGGTAATGGGTCCACAACTCTACAGACTGAATTACCCCTGAGCCCACAGTGTGAGTCTGGCTTGCCTTGCGGGCCCATAGCTCACATCTGGCTTGCTTTCGAGCCCACATCATAAGTCTGGTTTTCTCTCAAGCCCACAGCTTAAGATTTCCTTGCCCCCTTTAGTCCTAAGACTAAAATATAACTGATCAACCCTCTGTGTGAGGCCAACATGCTCCTGTGGCCCTCAACTTTCATTTGGAATGCCTAGGAGTCCCCAGTATGAGTTTGGCATGCTCTCCCGGCCCACATTTCATATATGGCATACTCCAGGGTTTGTTGGTCACCGCATAAAGCAGTACAACCTCCACCCTACCCACACAACATGTCGACATATAACAACTAAATATACATATAGATAATCAAACAGTAACGTAAGTAGTCCTACAAATCTACCAGACTGGCATAGCAAACTAGCATGCATAACTAACGCATACTCAACATATCATCAACTAATAGGATATCAAATCCAATGGGCCGACCTTGGTTCCTTCGACCCCTAAGTATAGTAAGGACAACTCACCTCACAAGTAGTGATGAAATCAAGAAGATCAAACTCCCACTCTTGGTTCCAAACTCAACTGCCTGTAACCATCATATAACTAATTCCATTAAAATCTCAAATTACCAAAATACCCTCAGAAGTCAAACTTGGTCAACACTTGGTCAAATTCAAAGTCAACGGTCAAGGTCAACAGTCCATGTTGACCCAACTCGTCGAGTGCAACTTACAGACTCGTCGAGTTCCTTCGGAACTCATAAGATCGCGAAAACCCTAGACAACTCATCGAGTCCATGCAGCATCTAGAATCTCGGGAAAAACCCTAACCAACTCGTCGAGTTATCTCACTAACTCGTCGAGTCCATGCAAAATCCAGAAAGCAGGAAACCCTCATCCAACTCGTCGAGTTGACTATGAAACTCATCGAGTTCCTTCAGTCTTTTCCTCATTCAGATGCTTTTAAGCGAAACCAAGGTTCCTGATTGTAGATCTATCATTCCAGGGTGTAGTTATCACGTAAAGTTGCAAACATTACGTGTATGCAAGGCTTCAAGAAGCTAAAACACTCAAAACTAGCCTTAGGAAGAGGTTTAGGGCATGGAAAAAGGCTAGGGCTAGATGAAATCAAGAACTTTATGTTCATGAGGGCCTAGAGGAGTCCAGATCTGAGACCATGTTCTCATGACAAGCTCAAACTCGAGAATGACCCCATTTTTGCACCAAAAATGCCCATATACTTACATAAGAAGATATCTAAGAAATGGAAAGCCAAGGTAAAGACTTTTTATCTCCAAATGGAAGTCGACACGATGTAGATGCTGGATCTACAAGCTTCTTCTCATTCCAATCCTCTAAATTGTCAAGCCTCTTTAATAAATGCACAAAGAACACACTTTTAGTCTCACACACACTCAAAATAAAGGTTATTTCGATTAGGGTTTCTCTCTAGACATGAAAGATGGTAAGGAGGCTGGAAGGGAGGACTTAAGGTCCTTTAAATAGGGTGCAAAACCTAAAAAATTACGGTTTTCATGTCCAGCCTCAACTCATGGAGTTGGGTCCTCTAACTCGTCGAGTAGGTTCTAGAATCGACATGGATTTATTAGTTTCTACACAATGATTTGAGGCAACCAACTCGTCGTGTTGGTCCAAAATTATGAATATAAAAGCATTAAATTTATACGTAGGAGTCGGGATGTTACAATGATTGAATCCGAAAGGGTTGCAAGAGAGAAAAGGGATAAAGAGCTTGGTGAACTCAATGCTCTCTGGAAGAAACTGTATGCTGAAGAAGTTAAAGTCAAGAATTCTAAAATCATTCTTGAAAATCAGAAATCCTTATTACCAGCCAAGTCTCATGAGCGAATTCAAAAAGAAGCACTTGACGATCCGAATCTCTACTGGTTGGAACCAACCACCTCCTTTGACAAAAATAATGATATAGAGTGTCAGTTGGATATGCCCATGACTCCAAGAGCCTTTCTCTTTAGGTGCTTTGAAAAGATTGAGAAATATTTGATCTCCAACAAAGCTGTAAATCAGATGCTCTTTTCGTTCTATATGAAATATGTGAAACCGAAATATGAGTCATGGAGTTTAAAAAAGAATTATGGGACTGAAGGTTGGCTTGCCGGTCCAGACAGAAGAATTTCTAAATATACAATTCAAGGGGTTATCTGTCCAAGCTTCTCTTCTGAAGATTATGCCTAAAATTTTCGAAGCACAAAGGCAATAAAGAAGACCTCCTTCCGATTTGACATAAGGAGGGGAGATTGTTAAGTCAAATTTGTGTTGTGTGAAATGTTTATTTTCGGATTTATGTTTAATTCCTATTACGAAATTGGGCTTATCCATTTTTCAAAATTGATGTCTTGTATTGTCTATATATAGCGTTTGCATGTAACATTTAGGGTTACATCTTTTCCACCACTAAAAAGAATAGTTATGTCTTCATAAACTGTTCTATTGATGAGAATAATTGAATTCACCTCTTTTCAATCATTATCATTCCATATTATTGATTTGTCTCGTAATATATAATCTTTCGATCTTATAATATTTCTCACAAACAAAAGCCACCACATCATCACCCATAATATCCTAGTAACGCTTTATGTAACTGAAAGAAAACCCATCCGAACCCGGAGCTTTAGAAGAGCCATAATACCAAATCGCTCTTTTAATCCCATCGTGAGAGAAAGGAACCTACTAGATTTGAATTTGAGATTGAGACAAAGTACAAAAAAGACTAGCCCCAGTCTTCGGCCGCTTGCCATGTTGCTTGGAAAACAAGTACTCATAAAACATATGAAACTCATTCTTAATCCTAGCAGGTTCATCAACCCACAACCCATCTACAAGAACGTCGCATATATCCGGTTGACACCTCTTGCACATTAGGATTCCGTGAAAAAAATGCAAAATTTTCATCACCGTCAATCCCCCCCCCCCCCCCCCCCCCCCCGCCCACTAATGATCAAAATAAGAAAGAGATCTAAAAATATATTTATAATTGAAAATAAATATTGTACAAATTAATAGATTTTTTAAATAAAATTCAAATGAAATATTAAGAAGATATAAAGAATTATATGGCAACAAAATTTAACTTTTATTCACATTTAATTATTTTTCTTTTTTTATGTATTTAATTTAATAATAAACTAATTTTTGGTGTTCAAAAAATATCTTTATGACCAATAATAACCGGTTATAATAACATATTGTGAACTCAAAAGATAAATTCACTTGTAAATAGTGTATAAAAAATTAACTAAATATAAACAAAATAAAAATGCGTGTTGCCCTTATAAATTATTTTCTTTACATTAACTGTTGATTAAAATGAAAGAAAAAGTCGAAAAAATCTTAAAGGTAATAAAAGTTACTCATTTTTTGACCCGTACCACTTTTGACTAGTTAGTTTATTCATCCTACCTATTTTGACACCTTTAATCTAAAGCACGAGACCAGAAAGATACAAACTTGATGTCGACATGATTCGACCCGAAACCCTTGGCCCGATGGATCAACTGTTTTCTGTATGCATAACATTTGTCCTGTACTGCTTTGCATTTCTTGTTTTCAGTTTTTGCCTTCAAGTTCACAAGTAATTGATTTCTTTTTCTTCTTTAAGCTTCCATTTTGAACTTTCTTTTTTACTTAAAAATGTCATCAATCCTCAATCAATGATCAATATCACTACACGGGAACATAATGATTGTGTTGTATGTGCCAAATGTTTACTAAAATAAATAAAAGTGGATTTCATGATTGACATAAATTGACAATTATAGAAATAAAAAAAGCTATATAGAAATAGATAACTTTATATAAAGAATTGAAACATGACAAATCAAAATTTAACGACTTACTATTTTTATACCTTTTGAACATAAAAAAATAAAATGAAGTCCATAGCACTGAACAAAGGTGGTGGAGTATTATTTAATTTCTTAATCAATTGTTTCATAATTTAACTTTACCAAATTCATCTAAATTTAAAATACTTTATTGAATCTTTTTTATTCGTCAGCGTGATGCAATGCATTGCTTTCCCTTTTATAATTAAACATGTATTCAGTTGATGTTAGTTTTAAGAAAACAAACGTTTATAATATAATCAAACAAAAATTAATTATAAATGAATTAACATCGTTTATTAAATAACTATCACTTTTATTCTATTATAAACTTAGAAATTTATAATCCATAACAATCATGGTTATAAAACTAATTAAATTTTCATAGTAAAAAACTCAAAATTATCAATTAATTATTTTAAATAAATTATTAATGAAGAAATATTTTTTATTATATAAAATTATAATCGTTGATTTAAATAAATATATAAAATTATATCACCTTATACTATATATTTATTTTATTTTATTTTTTATTCTAATGTTATTAGTTTAATGTAATTAGAGTATAAATTTAAATTTTAAAATTTAAAATAAAGAATTAATTATAAATTTAATGTGATTAAAGTGAGAAATTTATAATTTAAAATTTAAAATAGGGAATTAATAGGTTAACATACAGCATGATAGGTGATATATAATATTAATGATAATTTTTAATATTACGATAGTTGTTAGTAGAATAAGAAACTTATTCATTTATTAGAATAAAGATTATATATATATACTAGCAGCGTACCCGCGCAAAGCGGCGGGGTGTGTAAATTTTTTCGGTGATATGTTTCCTCTACAAAAATGTTATGTTACAAAAGAAAGTACATGTCGAAGATAAAATAATCAAACTATGGTGTTATTTGGGAGATGAAATCATTTTTTATTCCTAGACGGTGGGCTTTATAGCAGACGAGGGAACAAAGAGGTATCTGCGATTTGAGGGATATTTAAATTAACATGCTAAATTTAAGGATATCGAAAAGGGTTCAAAATTTGAATGAATCCGGGATTTGAGGGAACCATATCAAATTGCTGAGAAATATAAGGAGATTTGATGATAAATATTTGAATTCAAAATGTGGTTAAAATTTAATATTATTTTATTAATGGCTAGTTGTACTATCAGCTTCATCATTTGGACGTTTTAAAAAAATATTATTATTATAATCAATCTATTTTTAGAAATAGTTAGATTTCTTTTATAAGATAGTAAAGATATATATATATATATATATATATATATATATATATATATATATATATATATATATATATATATATATTCAATGGTATGTTTGTTACAATGGAATAAAATCACAAAAAATAGGATGCACAATGTAATTAAACTAGGATAGTACACCCCGCACATTGTTGCTATTTGTAAAGACAAATATGTATTTTATTACAACGTTGCATGCATCAAACGAATATGGGAAAAATCTGGGAAATGAATCTTTAAAAAGAAAAAAAAAACAAAACAAAATAAACCTAAAAAAAATAAATTAAAGGGAAATTGACACATTAGCCCTACGTTGTTTTACACATTTACTCATTGAGTCCCTTAAATATTTATAACATCTGGATTCCAAGTATCATAATTTAAGTATTCACTTTTGAGTTAAGAAGAGGAACTCGATGGGTTGATGCCTAAACTCGTCGAATAAGGTCGCGATTGATGATTCGGATTAATGAATGGACACGACGAGTCGGTGAGTCGACTCGACGAGTTCAAGCTGTTGGCAGAAACCCTATCTCTTTGGGCCTGAGTCCTATTTAAAAGCACTTATGGCCTTCAATTGCGGCTACCTTTCTAGAAGAGAGAACCCTAGCGAGCTTGAGTGTGTTGAGTGAGAGAAAGAGCTATCTTGAGCTATTTGGTGTGATTTTGCAAGAGAGGAGAAGAGTTCCAGCAAGAGGGACCAGAGGAGGTTGTTGTTCTTAGTTATTCAAGCAAGGAGCTTCATTCTGAGGTACCAAATCAAACCCTTTTCTTCCCTATTGTGTAGATTCCATTTTTGGGGTTAGGGCTTGAATCACTTCATTTTTGGGGTTTTGAATGCCTGAAGCCCCTCTTGTAAGTATGTGTTATATAGGAATGGCAATGGGGTGGGTTCGGGGCAGGGCATGGATTCCCAAACCCGCCCCGATAACTTTCGGGTATCTTATCGGGGCGCCCCATTGGGTTTCGGGTTTCCCCGTCGGGTTTCGGGTATCTTATCGGGTTTACAACAACTGATAACGAAATCTTTATTCTCTTTTAGGGTACCCCAATATCTTATAAAATATACATGTTCTAGCAACTTTTTTAAATTAAAAACATGATGCATCACTTTAATAAAATAAACTTGACGTTATATAAAAAATTATTTGATTTAAGTTTTGTTTAATACGTCAAAACACATAAAAATCATCATTAACACCAGATTGTTAATAACTAAAAAAATTGTCCACGATAAGTATTTTATATTTGAACGTGTACAATTAACAGCAAAATTTTTTGAACATATTATATATATATATATATATATATATATATATATATATATATATATATAATCGGGGCGGGGCGGGTCGGGGCGAGGATAACCCACTCCCTGCCCCGAACCCGATAACGACCCGTTACCCGACCCGAAATGATCGGGTTTTGGGTTTCCCCGTCGGGGTCGGTTTTTTTTGCCATCCTTAGTGTTATAGATCTGGACCCATCTAGGTCCAAAGAGTCCTAATCATCCAGCTTTATGCAGTCCCATTGGAGTTTTGAATCTAGGTTGTCATTTTAAGAGTTATTCCATCAATTAGAGCTTGATGTGTGGTGCATGGACATAAAGATTGAACCTTTACGTGACTTTTGGGTGTTAGAAGGTCAGATCTATAGGTTAGAGAATCAAATCCGACCTCAGAAGGTCAAATGAGTGTTGCCATGGAGGAAACTCACGGAGTCCATAAGAGGACTCGACGAGTCGGATCGGGTTTCCCTGCGATTCGTGATCAGTGGTAACCCGTCGAGTAAAAGGTTAGCTTGACAAGTCGAGTAAGGCCTTAGGAGGATTCAGAGGACACGCATAGGCTCGCCGAGTCACCCGAGTGCACTCGACGAGTTTGGTCAAAACTGGACCATTGACCGAGTTGACTTCAGTTGACCTTAGGGTTGGTCAAACTGATTTAAGAAAGGTTGGGGAGGGGTAGAATAGTTTTCTACCCATTCTTAGATAGGAGGATGTAAGGAGTGTATTGATTAGAGATGCTATCATTTTGATAGGCGGAGGCTAGATCGGGGATTCGAGCATGAGAGTT